TGTAAATTGATAAACAAACAATTACAATATATATTTTTGAAAGCATTCTTACTTTACAGCAATTTTTCACAGCTGCCTAAAACCTTTGCACAGTATTGTACATACATACATATTTTAAAGAATACAGCTACTTCACATGACTTGAACAAAAATTACAACATATGGCTTAGTTTATCTTAACTAATAGATTATCATAGTAGATTAATATAAACCATACCAAAATAATGGATTGCTATTACTTAAGAAAATATTTATTTTATTGAACATTTTATCACTGTTTTTGATTAATCTTAAAAGCAAAAACTAAATTATCTACAAAATATAGTAAAAGACTTTGCAACCATGTCCTTTTAAAAACAAACATAAAACTATCTACCTATATGAAAATGATAGAAAGTTAGCCATGGACCTTTTCCGAACAGCATCATCTGGTACAAATACTTGCACTTTTTTTCTTATAGTTGCGTATTCATTTTTAGCGTTGTCAGTTTTATGAATATAAGCAAAATCATGAACAAGTTTTGGACAACAAAATTGTTTATATAATTTATTTTTTCTGTTTTATCACATATACTAACATCACTTAGGACCCAACATATTTTCTGGCTTTACCCACTGATCAAATTGTTCTGCTGTAAGAAATCCAAGTTTGGTAGCAGTTTCTTTTAATGTCATCCCTTCTTTATGTGCAGTTTTGGCAATCTTGGCTGCTTTGTCATAGCCTAATAAAAAGAAAAAAAATGCATAAGATTTATTCTGTATTTTGGACCACTAAGAAACAACTTAAGTGACAAGTCACCCCATGGCAACCAACTAGAAATCATACTATCAAAAAAGCTCAGTGCAGACAAATGGATACTACTCATACAAGTAGCAACCAATGAACTGAACTCAGGATAGTGAAAGTTGCAGGATGTATCAATATTGCATACTGAAGACCAATAATTTAAGTGGGCTACTTCCACTGGAAACTAAATCTAATGTTGATAGTCTTAAGTCAGTGGTCAATTACTTTTTTTGACTCAAAGGTTATATCAGCCTTGAATGGCATGTTGGTGGTCATACTGTGAAGGCCAATTGAAGTTATAACATTTTATAAAAATAGCTTCTGATTTTCTGATTATCCATTACCTTTTCATCAGATAAAATAGTTACAAATCCAGAAATTTTCTTTTACTTAATTTGACACCTAATAGCTCTTTTTATCTAGAACAATTTTTTGTTACCACCAGTTTCCTTGATACAAGATTGAGTCAACTCTTTTGTTTTCCACCTATCAAGGGATATTACACTTCATTAAAAATCAAAACAAACTTGACTTTTAACAGCTGGATTTTGCATTTCCAAAAATGGGGAGCAATAATGTTGCTTGTTTCTTCTTCTTAGCAACCTTTACAAGAGTCTTTGGTGAAACCTAATACTACTTCTGTAACAAACAGAACCCAATTGGCATGACTGTAAACCACTTCCATACTTAATCTAAAACTGTAACCTAGTCCTGATGTGATAAATATTAACTATGTATGTTTCTTTTCTTTATTGCATCTCTTCAATACAGAGATCAAAATTAGAAATAAACATGACCAGAAACCTTTACATTAGCAAAACTGGATATTAATTTTAGATTATCAGTGCACAAAAAAAGTTAGTTGAACCCAAATAGTATGCTGTTGCCTAATAAAAATCTGTTTTTGCTGGTAGTTTTCACATGTAATAGTTAAATGCAGCAGTTTTCAAGGCACACATGCACATATATACGCACCCAAAAGAGAGCCATAAGAAATAAAAATAAAATTCTCAGTTGAGCAATACAGGACGGAAGGACGGAAGGACGGAAGGAAGGAAGGAAGGAAGGAAGGAAGGAAGGAAGGAAGGAAACCTACATTCTTCCTGCACAAGTTGTTGGACTAGATGACCTCTGAACTCTATGTTTCTATTATTCCTTCTCTCCCCGCTGCCCAGCAATTACCAGCAGCTGCCTGTGAGAAGAATGCTGCAACTATATTACAGTTTTCAATATTGTTAATTTTATTTTTAATTACACTTCTTTATATTCTTACAGATACCCTGGGAGAACTGTTATCCTGAAAGCAGCATATAAATAATTATAGTAAATAAGCTTGATAAAATCTCTTTCTCCCTTATTTGCATGCCAAATTGAAAGTATAAAGATGCCACAGAGGCATTCTTAACACTTTCTGAGACACAATATCTTTATGTCCTCTTAATCTTGCCATTTTGCACACTACCCTTCTATTTTCTACTTGTCTAGTAACTCTTCAACCATTTATAAAATCAGACTTAAGAATGTATTATTCTATGTCTCTGAAAATATGTGCAAGCTTATTTTTCAAATGCCTATGTTTTTAGCACGTGTATTCAAAACACTTATTAGATACTTACCAATGTAGGGATTAAGGGCAGTCACCAACATCAGTGACTCGTTCATTAACTTATTTATCCTCTCTGTGTTGGCTTGTATTCCAATCACACAATTTTCAGTGAAAGAGACACAGGCATCTCCTAGGAGTTGTGCAGAGTGTAGCACATTTCTAATCTAAATAAATAAAAAATAATTAATAATTTGACAAAAATGTGTTCGGACTGACTGCTACATTGATTGTCTAATAACAGTTTTACCACAGCTGCAATAGGACATCAAAGATGGTTAATATGATAAAACAACAGGACCAAAAAGCCCACAATATTTTCAGATTTGCTTTTATTTATTTTTTGTTCACAAGTTTTTAAAAAACAATGGCATACAGGCATACAGCTATAGGGAAGAAGATTCCACTAAATCCTCCATAAGCTTATACTTAAAAATAATTATTTTAATTCTAAAAGATGGAAATTGTGTACTGTCAGCTTCTCACATTATCTGCATTTTCAAGCGCATCTTTAAGCCACAAACGGGCTCCATAAACTTGCTTAGAAAAATTTAAAAAATTTTGGTGAACATGTTTGTTGTGTGTATGTGTGCACCGTAACATCTGAAATCTAATTTAGGACCAAAAATTGAAATGAGCTTATGTATAGGTGATGACTCCCACAAATTCATCTACCCAGTATTATTACAATTCCTTAGTCTTTATAACATACTTAGATTATGCCATTTCGTTATGTTATGATAACTTTAACAAACTTACAATCATAGGCTTAAAGACATTCAATTCAAAATGACCGCTGCTACCTCCTACTGTAACAGCAACATGATTTCCCATCACCTGCGCTGCCACCATAGTTATGGCTTCACACTGAGTAGGATTTACTTTTCCTGTGAGGGGGAAACGAAGACTCCTGAAATTTATTTATTATTAAACATTACAATGTTTATTTCACTCTGTTTATTTTCAAAGGAAACCTTGACGAACAGTGAATAAAACATTACTGAACAGTGTAGTGTGTTGGTTAAAGTGTTGGACTAGAACTGAGGAATCCCAATTTCAAGATCATTCTTAGATGTGGAAACTCACTGAATTTTAGACCAGTCATTTTCACTGAGTCTAATTTCCTCACATCATAGTGCTGTGGGTATAGAATGAAGGAGAACTCTTTTTAAGCTGCCTTGAGTTCCTGGATTAAAGCCAGGATATAAATCCAGATCATCATGATGTTATTGTTGATGATGATGATGATGATGATGATATTACAAAAAATCTTGGGTTGATGAAGGGACAAATATTTTGAATCCAAAACAGTAATTTCAAGTCCCTGCTCAGTGTCCTTGAGAAGCAAAACATGGGCATTGGAAATAAAACAGTGATCCTTTTTGGATCAAGGTAGTAACTTAAGCAAGCCACAAACAAGCAATAGAATGGTAATTTTATTTGGTAAATAAAGTTTGGGGGTTTAATTTGAAAATAATTACCTCTGAGCAGTACATAGTACAGAAAATTATGCAGTGAGGTTTTCCCCCCCTAAAAGATCTAAATGCCTTTTGATTTAGAAAGCAGAACTTGGAATAACTTTTAGGGACCTTTTGAAATTAAAAAAAAATGTTTTAAAAGTTAAGAAAAACATGCTCTTGAAAGAGGATTTGATTCATATAACACAGTATTCTTTAATGGCTTCATAATGTTCGTTATGTATTTACAAGAGTTGAAATTTTGAGCAGAACTAGAATGTCTTTTTGAACATACTTTTTTTGTATTTCCTAACTATAGTACCTTCAAAAAGGATTTTGGGTCTGAAATGTCTCAAGGACCTTGAGGACCAGCTCTTCAGTTGTTTATACTTAGCTTGTCCCCTGCCTTGTTTGTTTGTTTATTTATTTATTTATTTATATTTATTATTGAATTTATGCCACCCATCTCCCCCACCTCCCTTATTGGGGTTTTCCCCCCTATGCTGTTAAGCATTCTTTGCTTAAAGAAGCAAAGCATATTTTTTTTCACTACATTCACACCTGAATTAAAAAATTATAATGAAAGGAAAGGACAGGCATAAGACAATAATAATTTGAGGATATGTAATCTGGCATTCAAGAATTCACAAAAGGTCCATGTGACAGTTATATCATTTCTGTGAATAAACACAGATAAAATTAAATGTGACACAAATGCATGCCTACTTCTATAGTTCTATATATTTAAACTTGTGATTCATAGAATTATTAAATCTCATTAATATTATTCCTTATTCTTAACCACTTAGCACAAGATTGCCTAGAAAATCTATCTAGGAACAAGAATCTAGTGAGCAGGCAGAAAAGAAATTGTTATAATTAATAAATTAATTTTTAAAAAATGTAACCACTAATAAATAAATAAATAAATAAAGTTGTGATTAGTATAATAAATAAAAATTATAATCACTCGGTGTGAGTTCCGCTTCAACTTATTCCTGTTTACTGTGTACTGACAACATATGATTACTAACATGTATTAGGACTATGCCAAGTTGTAACTAATAAACACAATAACTTTAAAGTACTATTATACT